TTTACCTCCTTCTCTATATCCATACAAAATATCTATCAAACAAATAAAATTAAAATTTTCTTTTGAAAAATGAAACCATTCCATCAGTATTTTCTTATGACATTGTCACGTTCAACTATCGTCAGTAAACCGACTTTACAGACAACCGATTTTTAACACAAAGAAAGTGATTAAGCAAATTGTTCACAAAAGTGAATTTCGACCACTCGAAGCAATGGTGCTAACAGTTTCGAGCTCGTAGTGACTGATAGAGGAGAAGAACGTGTTTATACTTAAAATTTTTTTGTAGTCCTCATTTTTATATTATTCCCAGATTCCTGAAAGCAGGCTGAAGAGGACCTTCCGCTCTATCTTCCGGCGTAGTCCAGAAGGACTGCCGAATGTGACCTACATTATGGTTTGCAGGGCGAGAGATTTAATGTGCTACATTAATATTAATATTCTTTTCTTATTTTTACTCAAAGATAAACTTATTTAAATATTTTCCAAGATAGATTATTAACTCAATCTTTAAAGTTCATCAATTCATTGATACAGTGATGTACGAGGTCTGTTCAAAAAGTATCGCGAATTTTGTGTTTCTTCAAAAATTATTTATTTATTCATGAATACCTATTTTGTCTCCTTTCAAACTAATCCCCACCAGATGTTATACACTTGTGCCAACGTTTTTTCCACTTCTCGAAGCACTTCAAAAAATCTTTTTTTGTATTCTTGTTCGGCTCCTCCTTCGATGCCGTTTTTATCTCCTCAATCGTGGTGTAGCGTCGTCTATTCATGGGCCCCTTCAGTTTCAGGAAGTAAGGGAGGAAAAAGTCACAGGGGGGCAGATTATTATTATGTTGTTTTTGGCTAAAAATTCACGCACAAGCAACGATGTGTGAGTAGGGGTATTATGATGGTGCAAATTGCAAATTGCGCATAACTTGCAGGTAATATTTCTTACTGACCGTTCTACCCTGTGACAAGAACTCATGATGTACCACCCCTTGCAGTCGAAGAAAACTGTAAGGAAAACCTTCACATTCGACTTTCCGCTCTTGCGGAAACTTCCATTAGGATGATTGATCTTTGGTTTTCACGTCATAACCATAACCCCATGATTCGTTACCAGTTATTACCCTCTGGGGCAAATTTGAGTGGATATTTTGACCATCATTATAAAAAGTCTACAATATATTTTGTATGCCAGGCGCATACACCAAAATGTAATCAATAATAATGAAATATTTTTGAAAGCATCAAATCAAGACCTGTTTTAATTTTTAATATTAGTTTTAAGGCTTGGTACCCGAAACGAAAGGATTATACAGTTGTGACGACGGTGTCTGTCTCTTCGCCTTTCAGAGATTTCTAAATTCTAATGTCTAAGCAAAATGAGATATAGACTTCAAATTTACAAATAATGTAGTAACGAATATTGATATTTATTCAATGTAAAGAAATGTTTTTAAGTAAATAGGCAAGAATATTTACGTTGTTAAAGAAAGCGCTTATTGTTGAGCATCAACATAGTCAGTGTCAACTACATTCTTTGGATTCTTGTGCTCTGCAGTTTGGTCAGTATTCCCCAATTTTCGGGGAGGGAACTGGAATAACATTTAAATAATATTTCTTTTCGCTATTAAAATGTTTATACCGTTCTTGTTGGACGTGATAATCCATCGATTAACCATGTCTCCGATCATCACACCGATTTCGAAACGTTGCTGATTTTTTTATTGTTCGATATCGGATGCCGTTGAACATTTTGATGCCACATGTCTGTATGTATTACACATAAAACATTTCACTGCTCCTTTCTTACCGGGGCATGATGCACCAAATTGTTCTGCTGATCCACAATAATTAATAGTTGTAGTATCGCTTCTACTCGGCACCTTCTTTCTTCACGAAAATCGTCTTGCCCTGTAGGTTGTTCTTCGTTCTTCTCAAATTTCTTCTTCGTTGTCGACTGACTATGTCTTTTTATCTTATTTATAGGGTTGTTCGGAAAGTCATTTCGTTTTTTTTTTGTGGAAATGAAAGACAGTTTTCGTATAATAAACAAATACTTTATTAAATTATATATTGACCGTTCTGGTCCAACACCTTTTGCCATCTTTCTGGTAGTAGCATAATTCCACGCTCATAAAATTTTTGGTCTTTGCTGGCAAAAAACTGATCGAGGAGGTTTTTGACCTCCTCATTTGAGGTGAAGGTTTTACCGTCTAAAAAATTTTGGAGTGACCGGAACAAATAATAATCCGATGGTGCCAGGTCTGGAGAATATGGTGGGTGTAGCATTGTATCCCATTCAAGCTGTAAAAGCTTTTGGCGAGTGACCAAACTTGTGTGAGGTCTCGCGTTGTCTTGGTGAAACACTACACCTTTCCTGTTGATTAGTTCTGACCTTTTCTGTTGAAGTGCATCATTCAGTTTGTCCAGCTGATGACAGTAGACTTCCGAATTAATCGTTGTGTTATCCGGTAAAAGCTAAAAAAAAACGATTCCTTTAAAATCCCACCAAACAGACAGCATCACCTTTTTTTGGTGAATATCGGCTTTGGAAATGGTTTGAGCCGGTTCATCTTTTTTGCTCCATGACCTCTTGCGTTTGACGTTGTTGTATACAACCCATTTTTCGTCCCCAGTGATGATGCGCTTCAAAAACGGATCATTTTCGTGACGTTTGAGAAGCGAATCGCAGACGTCAATGCGGCGACACAGATTTCTCTCTGTGAGAACATGGGGAACCCATACATCGAGCTTCGAGGATAATCCCAGGCCTTTCAAGTGGTCATAAACTGTTGAATTTGATAAATTTAACCTCAATCCGATCTCACGTGTTGTTATTCGCCGGTTCACATCAACTAATGCCTTTATCGCGTCTTTATCAGCTTCAACCGGCCTTCCCGAACGTGGTGCATCTTCGACATCAAAATTGCCGGATCGAAATTTAGCGAACCAGTTCTGGCACTGGCGTACTGTCAACACACCTTCTCCATACACATCAGTCAATTTCTTTCTGGCTTGAACAGCATTTTTACCCTTTCTGTAGTAAAACAGTAAGATATGTCGAAAATGCTGCTTATCGCTCTCCATATTTAAAAGGGCACCAACCAAAAACTACTGCGTAGAATTAATTGGAATTTTTCACACACAAGCCTTGCTATATGAGCTCTCAAAGCATATAAAAATTATACGGCTTAAATGTGAAGTTGGGTGCAAAAGAATACAATTAAATCCTCTGTCGGGAAAAAATGAAATGACTTTCCGAACAACCCTATATATTAAAAAAAGAAAATGTTAAAAATGCAGTGTACTTATGCTATTTTCTAATCCTAAAACCGAAAAAAAATACAATTTTCAATTTAATTCTGTTCTATATTGTTCCCGTCTATTTATGTTAATGTTTATGTTTCTTTTGTTTCAGGTTACCGTTTCTTCAAAACAGTTATGTTTTTAACTGGTTTCATATTTGCTTCAACAATAGTTTATCTGATTTGTTTGCAAGGAGATCTTTTACCGCCTTATGGCAATGTTGGTGAGTTTTTCTGATTATATTTAAATTAATTAACATTATTAAATTAAACAATATCAGACTGTATAAAATTAAAGTTTTTTTATAAGCACCTATCTACGTATATTCACTTTATTTGTTTAAAATTAAAAAAAATTGAAAAATATTTGATTACGTAATACTTTTATTTATTACAATATTACCTCTAGTATTATACAGGGTGTTTGCTAAATACGAAGGTATTAAGTGTAAAGTAAACTCCATTTTTTAATGGTATATTGTTTCCCTATTTTGATTTTGGAGTATAATTCCTGAAGGATTTTTAATGTAGGGAAAGAGCGAATATAAAGATATGAATCGAAAGATTAGAAGAAAGTGAATTAGCTATCTAGGAAGTTAGATAAGTCAGGACGGAAGGAGTAAGAGGAATATAAAGCTCAATGATGAGCATAACGTGGTTAGAGAAGGTTAAAAATGACGAGGTATTGAAAGTATAGGAGAACAGAGGACTGTATGGAAGTCAATAAGAAATAGGCGAGATAGGGTGGCAGGACACCTTCTTAGATATAAAGGTTCAGTCATAGACATATTACAAGCAAAAACAGGAGTTAAGAAGAGTAGAGATAGACCTAGATTAGATTACTGTTTGTAAATAGTTAAGGATGTGGGATGTTCTAGTTTTAGTGAAATGCGAAGATTAGCTCAGGATAGGAAGAAGTGGAGGTGTGTGTCCGACCAGTCTTAGGACTGACGACTTTATGAAGATGATAATGATGATGATATACGTTAGTAAATTGATAAGGCGCTAGATGAAGTGGTTGAAAATTTAACAAAAACTTATCAAGCATGTGGTTAGATCTCGCTAAAATTTGAATGATTTGAATATCCCAGAGAAACTTCAAAATCGATTCACCATCAAAAGTTTACGTAGTATACCAAATTTCAGAATTTCATCAGTATGGACGGTTTCGAAAATAATGAGGAAAAATTTTGTTCAGGGTGATCCATTTAAAAAGGCGTAGAGAAGCATTTTTCGATTAATATTTATAGGAATTTTTCTTCATGGAACTACTTCCGGAATCATCCCTGGAATTTTTCCGCATTCTACACCCTATAAGATACAAGAATTAATTGAAATGTAAAATTGATGGATGATAATGNATTTAAATAATGATAAAATTAGGGAAAATTATAATTACTTAAATTAAATCTTCAAATTGCTGTCCATTTACTATTAAAACGTTAAGCTCAATTGTGTTTGACATTTAAGTTATCGTTTCTGTCACTTATTGCGGTCAATGTGTCAATACCTACTCGATTATTGATATGTTTATTTAAAAAATATTTTGACGAATAACTCCATTATTTATCAACCGATTTTCATTTTTCTTTTTTTGTTGTATTCAGAATAAAAACATCTATTCATCGAGGTATCGCAAAGGGTACTTTGCTATTTGAATTCTTTTTGTCAAGTAGGCTGACGCGTAAGGGTTGAAGGGTGGGGGATTGAAAGTGACATCTCTAAATGATAAATTAAAATTACAAATCGACGGGTCCGAGCATTTTTTTTAAATATTTTTCTCAACAATTTTATCGAATTTATTCGTTACTTTTGGGAAGCACTGTATGTATATAAAAAAATTATTTTATAAGTAAATGCACATAAATGTCATAAACACAAAAAATATATCCTTTTCAGATTAATCAGATGTAACAAAAGAAATAAAACAACAAAATTGTAGATATAGTAACTGAAGAGATATTTTGAATTTTAAACTAATTGTTAAATACACTATTTAAGAAAATTATATAGTCCAAATTTTTTGGGTTAAGACGGTTACGGCGATCATTCGTTAATTGTCCTGCCTTTGAGAAAACTCGTTCTGATGGCACTGAAGTGGCAGGGATGCACAAATATTTTGCCTGTAGCTGGTAAAGATCGGGAAAAATCCCTGAATGAGATTTCCAAAATTCCAGCGGGTTACTTGATCTCGATAAATATGGCAGCTCTAAATATTGACGCAACATCATTATCCCCGTGACATTTGGTGTAATATGTGACTTCGGGTGTTTCACTTGATTGTCTAGAAATGTCCAAATTGAATCCGAGGTTTCGGCTTCTATAGTAGAAGTAGAAGTATCGGCGGAAGCGCTTGTTATTTCTTCTTCAGTTTGCACTGATACAATAGAAACTAACTCTTCATGAACCAATGTTTGTGCATTATTTGCATTTCCCGAAACACCAAATGCTAATTTTTTAAAGCGGGTATCTGATAGGGTAGCTTTGGCCACAATTTTGTTACATTCAAGATTTCCGAGTCTCCTTGATATAGAATCGAGTAGACACGTTTTTAATTGATTTGCCACATCTGCGGTCACTACCTTATTTTTTAAAGAAAGTTGTAGGCCCTTAATTAAAGGAGGTACCATGGAGAGGGTAGGATATTTTTCGCCCGATAAAACCGTAGTTATATCTTCAATAGGTTTTAACAACGATACACAGTCTGCTATTATTTGCCACTCTGCAGTGTCCAAAAATTCAGGTGCTTGAGGGATAGATGTTATGGCAGCTGACAGCGGCGCTATTATTTTTAAAAGTCTCTCCATCATTATCAAACATAAGCTCCATCGTGTTCTTATATCCTGTTTGACCTTAAGAATAGGAAGATTCATTTGAATTTGCATTTCCTTGAGAATTTGAGATGCGACAACACTATGTTTGAAATGTCCAACTAGAGACCGGCATTTTTTAATAACTGTATTTAACAAGGGAATATTGTCTAGTTTCATTTACAGTTAGATTTAAGGTATGGGCGATACACGGGTGATGGTGTACGTTTATCTGTCAGATAGCATTTTTGATATTTGCCCCATTATCAGATACAACTGTGACGATTTTATTGTTGATATTCCATTCTTGAAAAATAGAATTAAGGGCTCTTGCAATGTTTTCTCCTGTGTGATGAACGTCTTCCAGTTCTTTGGTGGCTATGTTCCTGGAAACCATCTGGTTATTATAAATAAAGTGAATTGTCACAGAAATGTAAGCTTTGTTACTATCTGACGTCCAGATATCTGTTGTTACTGCAACATTTGCCACATCTGTCAGCATGGTCTTAATTTTGCAGCTTTCCTCTTGGTACAAGTTTTCAAGCCATACTGATGTTAAAAGTTTTCTACTTGGCAGTTGATAATGTGGATTCAGGTTATTTGAATAATTAATGAAGCCCTTATTTTCTACAATGGACAGTGGTTGATAATCTATTACAATCATTTGCAAAAGAGCTTTGTCAAGTTTATCTTTCATTTCCGGTGTTAGACCGTCGCCTCTAGTAGAACCAAATAACCTGAGTTGGTGAGAACCTTTCGATTTCGATAGAGGCTTTCCTTGGTTATTTGCTGTAATGTTAGTGGGAATTGGTATTGGTACAGCGGATCCACCAGGGAATAGTCTCCTTGAATTATGGGATGAAGAGTCAATTTCTTGACTAGGATCTACAACTGATGTTACCACATTTTCATCGGCATCTTCTTCGGGTTCACGTTGCGGAAATAGGGAAACCGGGTGTTTTCTTTTTAAATGTTCCCTTAAATTTGATGTATTTCCGGAATATTTATATTCATTTTTGCAAATATTGCAAGTTACGTTATTTTTCTTTTCCCCACTCCTTTTAAAATGCTCCCACACTGTAGACGAAGTTTTTGGTCCACGCTTCATAATTTCGATATAAAGTTTTAATATCAATAATACTCACAAAATAATTGATTAAAAATATTAAATGCACTTTATAATGTTCAAAACACAAATAACAAATTATATTTGTTATCATCAATCGATGTGTGATAGACGTCGCGGCCGATCTCGGCTATTATTCATTTATTTCATTTTATTGGTGACGACACGTTCAACATATACAGATCGTCTTTAATTTTTATGAAAAAATGGAGAACAAAAGAAAAACGAAAGTCATCAAGATTCGTATTTGAATCTCGCGTGCTCACGTGTCACGTCACCACTATGACTAACGAGTAACGAGAACCAGTAACGAACAGTACGAATACAAAACACGATATTGATGTTATTTATTGTTATTACCATTATCGATTTCTATTTCTGATTTTTAACGTTTTGTTTACAAAGTTTACATNACTGTAGGTTAATTATATATTTCATTTTTACCCTTTACGATAGCGGAGATATGTCGCCAATAGTACGAAATTAAAAAACTTTGACAAAATTTGGAATTAAAACGTTTTTAAGGACAATGTCGCTGTAAATTAAGCTATATGACTATTTCATGTTCTTAAATTAACTAAATAAGTGAATATCGCTCACTTGCATATAAATAAATCTGCGGTAGCCATAGGGATTCCGCCTGTTTCCAATATTATCAGGCTTTATTCCTACATACCTTATGTTATAATGGCATTTCTTTGATTTTAGTGGTGTTCCCCGAAATGATGAGGGCGTTCATCAAATGATGCGTGTGTTCTCCAAATGACGATATGCAGACAATTAGGGTTAAATTCACAGTTAAATTGAATTTTAAGCCAAATTATAGGAAGTGATTGTTATTTATTTATTTGCTATAAGGTTTATCTTAACAAAAACTTAATCTTAACTAAATTAAATCACTTCTTTAAAAATAGAAATTATTTGCTCAAATTCAACGTGAGATACATCTTGTGGCTCTAATTTAAATTTTTTGGCATTATTACGTACCGAACTCAAGAAATTTACTAAGATTTCTCCGTCATCGTCATCGACACCTGTCTGACAGGTGGCAACATATCTGTAATTGACATTTTTTTTTATGTAGGTACTTTAATTAATAAAAATGTTCCAGGGGATATTAAATTAGGATGTATGTTTTCCTTGTCTTGACTGTAAGATGTACTGCCTTTGACTTCAACAGTAAGTTTTCGCGCAGTCCGTTGACGATCAGAAATCGTCATTAAATCGTCCTCATCAGATGATGAAGAGTTATAAATGTTTTTATAAATGCTCTGTTTCTTTAATTTCA